GAGCTCGCGGGGCGCCCCGGAACGTCTGTTCGTCTTGCGCTCATCATGATCATCACCGGGTTTGACCAGCCGCAGATCACGGAAGATTTTTCACACGTGATGTTGGACGACGCCGCCAAGTGTGTCGCTCGGGCATTCACGGCCGATGTTAAGGCGCAGATTCCCGTCGTCAACCGGCGAAATGCCACCCGTGTCCAGTCGTTCCAGTCGTTCAATCCGAGCACAATGGAGATGGCTGTCGGTATCTAAAAAGGCCAATTCAGTACACGTAGTATGTATGTTTTAGACCGGTTCTGTTGGAATACGAGTATTGTAGAATAACTAAAAGTCGATGGCCATGTCCATGACTGCGGGGTTGAAACCTTGGTACCGAAGCATACGCTGGGCATTGCGCATGTCAACAACCTTCACAAACGACTGTAGCGACGCTGTGAAACTGTGGGCGACGGTCTTGGCAGCGCCATCGAAAAGCACGTGGGAAAAGTCTTCCAAAAGGCTGGGCTGCGGGTACCCCGTGCCCGACATGATGAGGGCCGTTCGCACAGCAGTACCAGGTCGTCCTGCGAGCTCACCGTCGACCCACGATACCGGGCAGATAGCCGGATCCGAGACGTACTCAGCGATGCCGCCGAGGTGGTTGTGCATGGCCGTCACCGAGAAGATGCCGTGTGCAACTACGTCCTCGAGGCTTTCTAAGCTCAACACACCAAGTGGCGTCGGTAGCTTCTTGCGCAAGAACGTCCAGAACGCCTGGATCGACGCATCACGTCCTCGTGACTCTTGTAGTATAAGACGAGGTACTCGCCTGTAAAGACGCACACGATCTTCCAAAAGTCCATGCCGTCTTCGTGGAACGGAAGCTTGAGCGTGTCAATGTTCTGACGCGCCACGCGGACTGGGAAGGGCTCGAGCTTGAGACTTTGCAGCGCCATCGCCCACGTATCCTTCAAGCCCTTTTCCGAGTACGAGTGCGCGCGGTGCAAAATGCCCTTCGGTGCAAAGAGGAGCCTGGACGCTTCGTAGTTGATGGCAACGGCACGGAACGTAAAGGGCTTGATCAGGCGGCGGAGGGGGTGCGTCGGAGGTAGTTGCTCACGGGACGCCGTCGTCATGTAGTTGCCGACCGTCACGTGGAGACCAATAAGGTGATCGACAGCCGTGACCTTGTTGGCAACCCTCGAGCGAAAGCACATTTTTACGTACTCCTACTGCACATCGGCCGGTCGAAACATCTTGCCAAGACGGACGATCTTGATGACGTTTTCCTTTTTGTCAAAATAGGCGTCGGCGCCGGTGACCGCGTACCCGGGCCGGACGTCGAGCGTCTCAAGAAAACTGGTCGTGACCGTGTAGTACGACCCATCGTTGTGCGCGGCGGGTAGCTTTGTTACCATGTGCTGTCCGAGGCCGTTGAAGACGGAGAGCTCGAGCGCGCGGTCCGAGTACCGGTCGTCCCAGTGCACGCGAACGCGCGGCCACATGCGTCCGACCTTGCTCAGGACATAGCCCTCCATGTCCTGGCCCGGCAGCCACGGGTCGTCAAAGTTTCGACAAACGGCGCTGCGTCTTGAAGGAGCTTGGCGCCATCGAAGAGCACCTTGGGAATCGATACGTCCTCGTCGTCGACAGGAATCTGGATCGGCGTGGCGTGCAGCGTTTGCTTGGCGAGCGGTTTCTGCGACTTTGGCACCGTGATGGATGCCGCGGCCGTTGGTGTCACCCACGTCGCAAAGCGTACGTTGAGCAGCTGGATCATCGAGTGCGTTAGAAAGTCGAGACGCTCATCGGACGATAAGGGGCTTTCGATCGAGCTGTTGTATAGAGCTTGGCGCTTGGCTGTCGCAGCCGACGCCATGCATCGTCATCCGTGTTGCTGCTGTGCACCACACCTGGTGCGTAATGAAAGCCCACAGTCGTGAGCAAGTCCACCGGCAGCGGGTTCACTCCGTCGTCGAGCGCATACGACTGTAGCGGCGCCATGACCGCAGCCAAGTCGAGCAGCGACACCACGTGCGTCTGCAAAATGAGGCGCGAGAGACCTTCTTTTCGCCCCGCCCGTCGGTTGACAAGATCGTTCAGCACAAACGGCGCAAACTCGTACGCTGGCGGGGTGGCGCCCGCGAAGCGCGCCACCGGAAAGAGCGCTGACGGCCGCCGCGCCGCGTTGTAGTTCAAGCACTAGACAAGTGCCACCGTGAGACGGTGCTTGGGGACGCAGCTGCTGTTGCCCACAACAAAGTCCTTGGTGGTGCGGGCAAACGTGTGACGCGCACTCGCGTTGTAGACGCG